GATCTGGCAAAGGGCTGCCAGTAATGTAATCTTTTTTACAACCAGCAACATGCTTAAAGTCTTGACGGACTTGACCTCTGTCCATTGCTAATCCCTAACTTTCTTGCCCATTCAGATGTACATCTTTAAAGAGATGGCACTGAATGTATAGCAAAGAGCTAAACTTTAACTGAAGGTGAAACAAGAGCTGCCCAGAGAAAAGCAGTGGGAGGAGGGAAATCCGAGTGTTGCTTACCCAGCCTCGTGCTGGGATTTTGACCCCATCGTGGGGGTAGAGGTGCCTGCTCAGTTTTACATGTGCAGTGCCTTTATTTCTGCCCAGATGGGAGAACACACCTTTTGGCAAGAGAGGATGTAATGTATTAGCTTGGATTACAGAAGCACTGTAATCAGACTCTTTATGCTTAGACTGTCTGAACAGTCCTTGATCCCAAAGGATAAAGCTAAACAAAGTAGTTGAAGCTCACACATGGAAAAACGAGGTATAAAGAGACCTCATATTTTACTGAATCAGTTCCTCAACTCCCAGTTCAGGCATTTGGTTGAAAAACCAAAGTGGTAGATTTCCATTATATTCACAGTCAATCCAAAAAGATTCCAGCTGTCTTTTCTTTCATTTGTGTGACAACCAGTCCTGGGATACATGCCAGCTCCTCAGATATTGCTGCTCCACAGTCTAGTTATTTTAACTTCTGGCAACTGGTTATTTGACCTCTTGGTGGCTTGTCATTTTAGTATCACTTTCTCTATGTGGATAATCTAGTGGGAATCCCTCCTTTATAAGGCAACAGTCTACACATGGTAATTGGCCAGAACACTGAAGTATTGTGCTGTTAAGTCCGGTCTTGAGCCACAGCTGAGGAGCACTAATTGTGTCTGGGAAGCACAAAAAATGTGGTTTAGTTTCTTGTTCATGAGTTACTGGTCCTCAGGCATGGGAGAAAACTCTAATTTTTAATATGCCATGTGTTATGTACAAGGTTTGGATCACTCCCTAAAGCCATGTGATGCAATCTCCTCCTCCTGGATGAGCACAGCCTGGGCTCCAAAGGACACACAAGGAGAAGGAGATCAGCCCTCAGCTTCCACCAGCTTGTGAGTGATGAGTTACATCACTCTGGTGTGAGAAACCAGCAGAACTGATCTTTATTCCCCTGTCCCATCATCAGTGATTACAAATCAGCATAAAAGCCAGCGGCGTGCTCTGTATCCCATGGACATCCTCAAGTGATGGCCAGCTCTGTTGGATGAGGTTTGCTTTTCATTAATCTCCAAAGCAGCCTAAAAGCATCTTGTATCTGCAGACAGTCTAATCTGCTGATGCTATATACTCAGTGAGAAAGCATGCAAGCAATCCAAATAAAAGAAGCAGCCATATATCCTTAATTTAAGGCGATATTCCTTCCTCCACCTTGAGCAATCAAAGCAAAGCCACAAATTTTCCAGTAGTCTGGGAATGGGATCTTAGAAAATGGTGTACTCAGTCTGACATGGACTTAAATAGGTTTCAGAATAATCCATTATGCATCAAGTGTTTAATTGGCATAATTAATATTTTTAAGGGGAGCCATTCACATTGTAAGTTCTATACACATTATTTACAATTTCAACAGTAACAGTTAATGCTCTGTGACAAACTATATTGTTTCCAGCTTGTTATCCATTCATAACAAGGTCAATCTATTACCATTATTTTTGTGAATGTAGCTGTTACCTTGAGGCAAAAAGTTAATTGTAAATTACAGAGGAGGGATTATTGAGTTGTTTTTTTAACTGTATTCACTGTAATGTATGGTAATGGTGTTATTTTATGAAACATTTACATTTAAAAGCATTTCGTTATTCATATCACACATGCTGGACAAATTCACTTTTAAACTTTTCAAGAACTTACTCAATGGGAAGGGAAGAGCCATTTGAAAGGATCCAGCTGAACACTCCATAAGCACTGCAGTTAAAACCAGATGCAGTCTCATCTATTTTCCCCCTTTGTCTGAGGCTGGTCCCTCTGCCATCACCATTCAACACAACTCTGAGAAGTGCTTAGTGCTCTGAGAAACAGGAGCAGGTTTGATTGTAATTTAGAGTAACACTTTAGCCCTTACATCACAAAAATTATCTATAAGAGATGTATCTTCAGATTTTATTCAGCCCCTGATACACAGCACATACACGGGGCCACTCTGATGTCTGAACTCTTCTCCTCCTTACTTTTGCACAATTTCTACTGTGCTGGTTGATGCCCTGGCAGACAAATCTTATATTTACACCCTGCCTTGTTTGCTCTCACCTGAGCAAAAGTCAAAGGGTATGTGGCACTGCTGCTTCTCAGATGGCAGTAAAAGTTGTCATTCTACACAGAAAAGGATGGGGAACCATCATAAAACCTGTCTTTCCACATCATTTTAACGACGCTTTTCAGGGCAAAACCCATGAGCTTTACATTACATCATTGACTTATCCATCTTAATGGAGAGTTGACACCATTTAACTTCAATCCAGACAACATTTCTGCTGTGCCCACAGATCCAATAGATCTGCCTGCTGCGTTGATCTCCACCGTACTTGTTTTCTAAATTGTACTTTGAAATTAGGTGGTTTACATAATCCCATTATATTCTGGCTTCAATTAAAACACTGGCATTGAATCTTCGCAATCACTTCCAGAATAACTGAGAACAAACTCATAAACACTGAATATTTTGAGCTGAATAAAGAATGTAAGAGGCTGATCATTGATCAGATGCAGAAATGTGTTTCCAGTCACACAGGAATAAGAAAAGTAGTTTAGAATTTTGTCTTCTTTTCTCCACTGAAGAACAGGCAGGTGAGAGCTGTTGAGATATTTCCTTAACCAACCTATAAAAGACATGTTGTAATTTCTCAGTGATGAAGTTTCTGTAATGTGCTGGGGGGTGTTTGGGTGAAATTTTACAGAGAACAATTTAAATCTGTTAGAATCAATTGCTCACTTGAAAAAAATCTATTCCTTTCTTCCTCAAGTCGTAATGAAAAATAAATTTGTCAGGCTTACATCTTCTATCTGAAAGGCCTAATGTGCTGTATCAGACCAGGTTTTCCTGTATCTCATGCTCTCAGAAACTTTAAGGCATCGTTAGGTATTAGCATACCTAGTTTGGAAAGGGTTAAATAACATTATTTCTGTGGTCTCCATGGCTGGTAGCATGCTCAAAGTGCACAAAGCTCAAGACATGTGCATTCTTCGTCCAATAACTTGTCCAGTAATTGGTATATTGATTGCTAATGTCATCATGTTTTAGTATATATAAACCCTCTCACTCTATCATACAGCCGCCAACAATCCAAGAAGTCATTGTTTATTCATTGTAACTCCCAAACTGGCGTGTCAGATTCTGCTTCAGGCCTTGCTGATAAAAATCAGGAGATGATTGGGCACACACATTCTTGACATGGCTGACCCATGACATCTTAGGGCCAGCAGGGAGCCTGTCATTATGTGTACAATACTCTTCTTTCTTCCCCCTTATCTATTCCCAGATGACTTTGAGATTTTTATTAACTCATTAATGACTGAAGATGTCATTAAGGAAAGTGGGAAGGAGGGGGGAGAAAGACATTTTGTTTGTTTGTTTAAAAGTGGGGAGCAGCAAGCCACTGGCTCCACTTGGAGAAAGGTGGGGAATCTTTAAGACAATGCTGAAGGATATCCAGAGGAAAAGATTGTTGGCTCATTAGGATGACTAAAGCCAAGCTTTGAAGGGAGAAAAAATATTGGGCCATATTTGAAACACAGCTGAGGAAAGAGGGATGAATTTCTCCACAGAAAAGAAACAACAAAAAGGAAACAGCCCAAAAAGCTGGTTAGGTTTATGCAGCACAATCAGTAGCCCTCACAAGCACAGAGGGAGATCCCCCTGGTACTGCCTCACTCTTCAGACACTTCAGTATTCACTCAGAATAAGTTCTGTGTTCAGGGTTAACATTTTATCGTGTCTTTAAAAGTGTGTCTCTTTACAAAGGGAAATAGAATCTCTTCGGGTTTTTTTACATTTTCTCGTTTAAATATGGCAATTGAACAGATATTGAAAAGCATTAAATAGTAATCACACCTGAAGTGGTTTTTTTCCAGGTTCTTTTTCATCCTAAGTTTGTGAATTCTATTTGTAAATATAGAAAACTACTGCATATAATTTTGCAGATTTTTACAATATGGACAGAATTTTATTACTTTAAAATATATATCTGAAGCAGAATTTTCATGTGAGTCTGTTGACAGGTTACTTCTGATCCTACAGTAGTCAGTCACTAAACTTCCCCTGTATTTGGGATAAACAACTGGTCCCACCTTATGAATTTTTACTCCACTTGAAAATTCTGCTTTTATTTTTTAATTTCTCTATGAAACAATCTCACATCTGATATTTTTATTGGAAGCTGGATTCATACAGCAATGAAAGCTGTCTTTTTCTTCCTGAAATTTGTGTGTTTCCTATCATTAGAGGCCTGTTGGTTTAGAACCAAGGACTTAATATTTTAAAGATTGCAATTATTTTGTTTTAATAGTTGCCATTTGTGGATTGACTGAGGAATAGCGAACATTTTCCTGCCTTAGGCAGCTGCCTTCCATATGGTTGTTGATCTCAAACTAGAAATCTCTGATGTGATTTCATGATTGCTGTGATACTGGACATTAAAGTGACATCAAGATCAATATCATCTGCATTGACTGGCCCTTAGCATTCCTTGTTTCATTGTTCACGTCTTTGATGGGGTGAGTGGAAGAATGATGGGTTTGTTCCTCAAAAGAACCAGAAAGTATTGGTATAAAATACTGGAATAAGCTCCATAGATGGGACCTGTGCATTACTACAATCAACTCAAATAGGAATCTGCTTATTCTATCATATAAACTACAGATGGCAATCAGGTGTATCAACCTGATTTTATAAACTGACTACAGTAAGTTTTAATACTCCTAATAGGAGTTAAATGAATATAATTTAATTATACCATGTTGCTTGTGACAACTCACCATTCTGCCCACTCAGTAGATGATCAGATCACCTGGGTCATAGGGCAAACATTTATTCTTAGGAAAAATGATAATATTTGCCGTGTCTCAAGTCCTTGTGAAGGCAGTGGACATTTTCTGCAATATTAGAAATTTTCTCTAGTTTGCTTCTTTAAAAGAGATTTTTATTCTTCTTTTGTCTCCTGATAATTAACAGAACATTGTATTGTAGTGGGAGCTGGAGTTCTCCATCAAAGGTCAGGGACTTGTGCAAGATGCTGTCTGGGACTTTAAAAAATACATAGATATACATACACATGTATAAATATATATATATATATNATATATATATATATATTCCAAAGGAACACAGAGGGGTTTGAAAAAAAAAAATGGCAAGAACACATCAGCATTTGCTGGCCTAATCAGCTATACTCTGCTTAATGAAGGTGTGTCATTTCCCAAATGCACCTTTTTGAGAGGAAGCCTTCCTTTCACCTCCCTTTCTGACATCCAACCTCTCTTCCATCCTGTGCTGAAGCGGGAACCTGTGATGAATCTTTGGATAATGGACTGTTTGCTTTGACAAACTACCCCTAGTGAAACACGTGCCTGTCTTGGCGACAATAACAGCGAAGTGCGGATTTTGTGGAAGAAATAGAGGCTTTGAGGGCTCCGGCGCCAGACTCCGAGTCTATAAATTGCTGGACTGGGATGTTGGATGCCTTTTAATATTTTCAAACATCCAGTAGAGTAATGAAAGAACTGTAGGACTACCCTGATGTAAGACCTCGGGAGAGTGGTTTTCAGAGATCATGGGAGCTCACAACTTGTTTAAGAACATGAAGTCCTATCCAAGTAATAGCTGGAAATAAGTTGCTTGATTTTTCTATCCCCAAAGACAAATTCTTGTAATAGCAAAAGTGTAAAATCCAACAAAGAGAGGCTTGATACTTTCAGATATTCCAGCCACTTCACAGTGGGAAAAAAAAGACAGACTGACAGTGAAACTATTTGGGGTAAATAATGAGGACAGACTTCTCAGAAATAAACTGGCATGGATTTGGCCATGAGATGTCAGATTCATAACTTGGGAAATGAAAGCCTCTATATACTAGAGAGCAGGCCCTAGCCCAGCAGTGGCAATTCAGCCTTCTGAGCCACAGGGATTTCTTTATAAGCAGTGGTATATTAAATGTGGGATCCAGTAGGCCAAAGGGACAGCAGCAAAACAGAGACAACGTGCAGTGACAAAAAATGAGCTAAAGTCAGACACTAATTACTTCACAGTAATTTTGTTTTCCTGTAGGGTTGACTAATATCTCTTGCTCCTTCAAGGTAAATGCTTTTCCTATCACTTAGATTTTACACCTAGTACAATTTTTTTTAGTTTAAGTGAAACTGGGGAGAAAGCAGGTTTTGTTTATTTATCCTTTTTCAATGTAAAGATGAGGGGTGGATTGTTATACTGTGCATGTAGCTGGAGTGGGCTGAGGAAGAGCACTTTTAGACAGGCCTAGGTCAACAAAACAGATTCATCCATCACATCTGCCAGAATGGAAAGATAGTTGTCTCTATGCTCGGTCAATCGGAGACCTTTCTGCTGAGTCAACTGACAAGATTGCAGATATTTGTGACAAGAAGGACACTTATCCACTAGTAAGTGGACTGAAGACCACCAACATGTTTGGCGGTGGGTCCTAAGCCTGGGAATCTCTAAACTCTTCAACAGCAGCATATTGCTGCTTGCAGCCCTCCTCCCCTTATCGGTGGAGAATCGTTACCAAAAACTAAGCTGGAATAAGATAAAAGAACAAAAGGAAGGGATTCTGAGGTGCTAATGGTGGAAGGTGTGAGAGTCAGTAGAAAGTACAGTAAAGAAACCCATGACAAGTCATGATAAATGGGTCGTTATAAAATTCATGTTTAGGCTGCACCAGTCTGGGGATAATGCCATTCGTCATGGCAACACTGGGGCACTAATGAGCCCTCATTGCATATTCATGGCTTTGGCGCCTCTCTCCTCTCTCTGCCTCCCTCCCACCCCGAACCAATGCCTGGTAAATATCTCCACCTCAAGCTGAAACTCGACTTAGGCTGCTTTTTTTTTTTTTTTTATTTGTTATGTTGCAGCAATTACACTGTAAAAGTGCTGCACAAGATTGATTGCTCTGATCTGTAGTTCAATTGTAAATTAGAATACACATCCCCCTGGGGACACACGGCCCCTATTTGTGATTAAGAAAAAAGCCCCATAATAGACTAATAGCTAAAGTTCTCTCTCTTTTACTTTCAGGCAATTAGCTTGATGAAATGGCCTCTTTTTGTGTACCCTGGAAGTGTAAACCGATATCATAATGAAGTATATGATGTTTATTCTATTATTTTCACCTTGCCATGTATGCAGGAATGCATAAATAATGGCTGCTTTGTCTAGTACATTTACTGATTCAGAAGTAAACTCTGTCTTAAAGATGCAGCATGTGATCCCATAGCCTTATGTTAAGCTGGACACTGTGACTAGTCCCTATAAAAACTGATGTTCTGCCCAAAGAAGTTGGAGACAATTTTCAGTCAGGTGATTAAATAATGTTTGGAGGATACTTTCATTTATGATGAATCTTAATAGGAAAATCCTCCTAATAACCTAGTGAGAAAAAAAGAATCTCCATTTTACAGAAAGGAAATCTGAGGGGGAGACGCTGAACACGTTACACAAGCCCACACAGGACCTTAATAAGTGCTTAAGAAATCCTACCTCCTTGAATGTTTTTTCAGGCAATGAGAAGCTCCCATTCCTCTCTGTTGTAAAGAGTTATTAATGCTGTCCTGTATGGGTCATGCAGTGCCTCTGACCTTAACTCACCTCAAAGACATACAGCTCCGCAGTGTCACAGTTGTCTTCATTCCCATGTGACACCCATGGCTAAAGCTCTTTCACCTAAATCCAAGGTGGATATGGTCATGCCCATATTCAATATCATGTGTTGGATGCTGGCTTTCCCAAGGCTCAATTTGAGCTGTCAGTCTGAGCAAATGAGTCATGTTGTGCAATAGTGTTATAACACGGGGACGGCGTTCGTGCAGTTGAGCTCGAGATAAATATCTGGGAAGAAAACTGCCATGTGATGATAGCTCTGGGCATATCTGCTTTGTGAGGAAAGGTGCTTCTACATTAGCCTTTCACTTTGGCCCAGGAGTGCACTTTTGAAGTGAACCCTCCAAATGACCCTGCTTACCCCGTCCCACCAGGCCAGGCAGCCTCAGAACACGCAAACGGAATTCTTTTGTGTGAAATCAAACCAGGTGATGTGGTCTGGGAGCTCCAGTAGCTAACGGGGATTCAGTCCACTGGAGCATGCTAGGACTGGTCTGAGTAAACCTCTGACATGCAGTGACCTGGGGCCAGTCCCTGCTCTTCAGTGCACAGCGTAGACGTACCTTTATTTGCCTATTTGCTAAGCAGAGCAGGGTTCCTATCCAAGGGGTTGTAAGAAACTCGGATATGAGGACATGTGAAATGGCCTGAAAATCCTGCCTGAGGAAACACACTGCTTTCTGTATAACCCCATCGGTTTGTCTGCAATAGAAATATTTCCATTTAGTATAAATTCTGCGCGAGAGAGGTTCTGAAGGGGAACATAACAGAGCTTGGAAACATTTTGCTGAGAAGCACTACCAGTGCAAACCTTCAAAGGGTAACTCTGTACATGGCTACAAAACCATATTCTGTTTAAACTTGTTCATCATTGTCTTCTTGCATGACAGCCCTGGCATTTAAAATATGTTAGGGGTGACACAATACTTTCACCTGGTGCAGACATATATCACTGGAAGGATGTTCTCATAAACAAAGTGCTGCAGGCTATGATCTTATCATTCTCCTCTTCCTTCTTCTCAGCTCAGTTCAATGACAAACACGTATTTCTCTTCTTTGCTCCAGTTTTCTGCTCTACAGAAGCCTGGTGTTGGAGCAACAGGTGATGTTGCAAATCAGGAATGACAAGCACTGGTGGTGGCCTGGTGGGGGGAAGCAGCATCAGAGGGGGCAGCAAACATGCAACGAATTTTATCGTGCTGCAGCTGGTGCAACTTCATGGCATGAGCAGAAGTGCACTCACGTGCATGCCCGCACACGAGTGGGTTTTTTTTGAGAAAGACAAAGCAAATTAGAGTGTTCATATGTAATTAGCTGACTATTAGTGTGGTTCAGCCAAGGCAATAGGCAGACAGTTAACTTGGAGATAGCTCGCAGATAAAAGGGCTGAGGAGGGTGTTCTGGGGAAAGCTGGAGGTAATGGTTCAGAAGATAAATTCCTGACAAATTGAGCAGGCATCTCAGAATGTTCTTGCCCTACACCACCAGCACAGTGAAGCTATACAGGCCTTCCCTCTCTCCCCTACAAAGCTTAACCCTTCCTGGCACCCAGGGCTCTTTCTCCTTGGACAGCTCACTTCTAAATTATTTAAGAATTGTAATTTTCTATTTAAACGCATTAGTTTGGACTAAAATTGCGACATTTCCTGCTCATGCTTCCTGCCCTCTTTCTTATGCCAGCATATGAAACAGAGGCTATTACCCTTGTAGAGGCTGGAATATCCCCAGCTATTTATCTGAGAGTGACCAGGCCTAGTAAAAACTTTATCATTTACCATAAGTAAGCATCACACCTGGGGAGAAACCCAAAGTGCGTCCAAGTTCAAGTCTTTGCAACTTCTATGAAAATGTGGGTGTTTTAGTAAATCTTTGTGCTAAATGAAAATGTCATTATAATTTTCTCTCATTTTACAGCTGACAGGGAAGTGCTTTTTTCTGTCCTTTGGGAGTTTTCAAGATTTCATTTTTTTTCAGCTAATTCTGTGGCTAACCAATAAGCTGCTAAAATGTAAAAAAATATAACTGAGCCATTTGATTCAGGAGTTTCAAAATATTTCAAATTTTTTGCTTTCACTTATAAATTAAAAATTAAAATTAAAATATATATCAAAGCAAATAAATGTCCACTTAGAAAAACATGTATCAGGACACTTACAATTATTTTGAAAAGTCTTTAACATCTTTTTTCCAGTTGAGAAGCTTCATGAAGACTGTGTTATTTAATCCCAATCTTTTTGCCTGTCTGGCATGTTTCAGCACAAATTTTTCATGAAAAACCCTAGACATAATCCACTTTTATGATCAATTCAGTATATTAGGGTGTTCTTGTTTGGGATGACTTCTGAGGAGGAATAATTGAGAATTTCATGCTGAGTTGATCCAGTACTGAAATTCTCAAATATTGCTGAAATTATTCATGCTTCTGAGTATCCATTTATGGAAAAGCCTGCATTTCTTAGGGCCTGTGACCCCTTTCGTTCCTCTCAAATAAGATTGATCTAAAGTGTTTCTGTTGAAGTAAAAATTTATCATGGCTTTTGCACAACTTGAACACTATTTTTTTTGCCACTGTGTAAACTCTACAGCAAGTCTGTTAGAACTTTGTCCTGCAAGGAAAGTGCACACTTGATATTTCAGATTAAATGTCCTCGTATTCTGTCATGCCAGACACAGAATTCACCAAACAGACAGAAGAACTTGCACTACTGGGGTGGGTTCAGCCCCATTTACTAAAAAACACGTTATTTTTTGCTGACAATAGATCACTTCTAAGCATACAATTAGCAACTTTTGGTACATAGCTGTTTTTAACCCCCAAAGTAAATTACCACTTGCTACTTTTAATGCTCGTTTGTTCAAGCCTCCTTGTAAGCATTTTGTCATGAGCAAAAGTTGGAGTGAACTCTCTACGGAAGAAATGTTGAATCAAGAGCGCAAGATTGTGTTGATGTTTCTGTTCATCTTGAAGGAGGGAACCTTCTGCTGTAGATCTCAAGTGATGCTCAAGGGGAAGAACAGCACGTACAAGGAGGGGAGCCAAGAGCCTACCACTAGAGATAAACCCTGGGGACAGTGTCAAGGTAAGGGCCCTCACCAGCCACTCAGGAAATGTTTTCTTCCTGACTCTTGCTGCCCTGCTTACCTTCTTCCCGCGGTCGTTTTCCTCATCCCACCTTGCAGAACGACAGGAAAACCTGAGGTTTTGCACATGTTTCTGGAGAGAGGGTTGTCTTGCGTAGAAGCAGCAGCTGTGTTCGACCAAAGGTCCTGCGATCCCCTCACCATCTCCTATGAGGAGCAGCTGAGGGAACTGGGAGTGTTTGGAGGAAAGGAGGATCAGGGGGCACCTTGTCACTCTCTACAACTCCCTGAGACAAGTTTGCAGTCAGGTGTGTGTCAGTCTCTTCTTCCAAGTAACAAGAAATAGCACAAAAAGAAGCAGCTTCAAGTCACGCCAGGGGAGGTTTAGGTTGGATATTAGGGAAAATTTCATCACTGAAAGGGTGGTCAAGCATTGGAACAGGCTGCCCAGTGAAGTAGTGCAGTCAACATCCCTGAAAGTGTTAAAAAAATAAATAGATATGGTGCTTAAGAACATGGTTTAGTGGCAGACCTAGAATGTTGGGTTAATGTTAAACTTGATGATGTTAAAGGTGTTTTCCAACCTTCATGATTCTATGACTCTATGATCTCTGTGGCAGAAACCCCCAGCACATATATGGGAAAATGTCAGAAGTCAAAACTAATTCTTCTCATAAGGTATTCTCCTTGTTCCTATCACTCAGTGCATTACAGACTGACAACAGAAGTTTCATAAACCAAGAATGTTTAGTTCTAGCCTGATTATATTTTTGGTGTTCTGTGGCAGAAAATCCTGCAATTTAATTGTGCTGCATGACAGAAAATTTTATTCACTTTAAACCTCTTTTGCTCCTTGTATTAACATAGTCTATAAATATTCCCCTCTTCACAATGCTCTTCATAATGTTTGTCACAGTATACACCTCAGTGATCTCCTTTCAAAGAGTTCTAAATTTGTCTCATTTTCCTTTGAATGGAAGCAGATACATACAATTACTGACAAGACAACCACCATCAAACCCAACTCTTGTTACAGAGACTGAAACGCTTCCAAAAATTAATTATTTAAAATAATCCAAACAGTGCAAATATCCAAAGATCAGGCAGATCTATGAAACTTGCCTGCAGCAAAATCATGCAATTAGAATCATGCTCATAAGTGTTGCAGTCTTAAAACATTAATAGATCATTTTAATGGAAGGAGTTATTAAAATTGTATTTGATTTGCATTATTACAACACTGAATGCGCTATGGAAAACTGAGTTCATGAGTGAGGTACAGCACAAACCAGTCTTATTATCTGAGCTGGAACTTTAAAATAGACCTTGCTTTACAGTTCTGAATTTTCTTTAGTTTTATTTCTTTTTCAAATTGATAAGAACTCGGGTTTTTATATTAGAAATAGAAAATGAGGAGGAGGATAAGAAAATAGCTGGAGACTGAAATAAAGACTGAGAAAAGCAATTTGAGGAAAAAACAATCCTTTCCAAAGTAAGTAATTTTTATCATAAATGAGATGTATTGTTGTGATCATAACCACTATCAAAAGTCCCATGAATTGCAGGGTTTCTGTAGACGATTTAGGAAGAAGTTGGCCCAAATGTGGAAGCAATTATAAAGAAATTCATGACTCTTTAGTAAGCATTCCTTGTTTTATTTCTGTTACAAATAGACTGTAATTTGTGGATCTCTATCTGACATCTTTTTATTGGGCACTTACCCTCCCTGACCTGTTTATAAAATTCCCCATTTCATTAGTGGGACATCACCAGCAAATCTGATACACAAATGTCTCCTTTAATGCAGCAGGAAGCAGAGTCTGTTGGAGTTAGTGGAATAATTTCAATCATTTCTAACAGATTTAGGAATAAACCCGCAAGGGTTAAAAGAATATATATAACCATAATTACAAAGTGGAAAAAGGAATACAGTTTCTTTGCAACTGAGATATTTTTAGGGGTTTTGTTCTTTAGAATCCCTGTACAGGTATGTCCCTCATGCACCGTTGTCAAAAATAGTGTTTAGGCATTTAGGCTTGAGTTGATTTAATCCAGTACAGAAGTGTGCTCTAAATTTTTCAGGGCAGTGCAAATGTGTAAAAATGGTGTCTTCCTGTACAAAAGCTCCATTTCACTTAGAAGAACCATGCTAATAAATTAAATAAATGAAAGTATTTCTATTAAAAATAGAAACAGTGTCTCATAGAAAAAAATATCATCGATCTTCTGAACTTAAAATATGTTTTAAAATTCAGTGTTCAGATCCTGAGCAGGTGTAAATCATCACAGAAATTATGCTGTTACACTTTACATGATATTACCAAATTGTCTTGCTGGTAATTAAGAATATCCTCTATGGAATAAGGACCAATGACAGGAGAAAGTATAAGTTGATATTGTCTCAGCACACATAAGTGGTAGACAGAAATATTCATGTGCATAATCTTATACCTTACCTACATGATACCCAGTGGGCTGAAGTAATAGTGTACAGAATTATCTTGGAAAAGACAATTCTCAACAGAAACTAAAAATCTTATGAGTTGTCTGTGTTTCTCATAATTATACATGGCAAAAAAATGGAGATAAAACTAACAGGCATGCTCTTGGAAAATGTTTCTTTATAAATGCTTCTTTAAACTTTCAGCATATTATACTCAAACGTTTTTCAGGCTCAATTTTTCTGTATTTCATGCCAAGAAAATCAGTATTTCTTTCTCCCTTTCTTTTCATGGGTCTATTAGGTTTGCAATCTGCAGCCCAGGGAAACATATGCAATTCCTATTAGTCAGGAAGGTAATGAAGTCGTTCTGATCAAACATGAAATTTTTGCCCTGAATTTCTGGTGTAAATTTCAAGGGGAAAGGCCACCTGAGAATTCAACAGCCACTTCCATGAAGAGCCAAACAAACCACTCTGTCTGCTGCAGAACAGCTCCTTTAACTTACCAACATAATGAGACTTTTTCAGAATCAAACTTTTCTTTAAAAACAAGTGCTTCCCTTCCTTGATATTAAAAGTGAACCTCTCT